GATGGTGTTTGTCTTCCCAAGTCACCGTTACACGTGATGGAGCCCTGCTTTCCTGGAGATGGCTGAACACCTGCCTGCCGGTGGGAAGCAGCGAATGAATTCCTTGGTTTGCTTTGCTTGCATGCACGGCTTTTGCTTTACCTATTAGACTGTTTTCTCACTTTTACCCTTCCGATTCTCTCCCCCATCCCACCAGGAGGGAGTGAGCGAGCGGCTGTGAGGTGCTTAGTTGCCGGCTGGGGTTAAACCACAACATAGCCACATGGAGCTGTGGGCATACCAGGAAAAAAACACAAAGGCAAGGCATTGAGCCCAGGCTCTGCCAGCCACTTGGGAGACCTGGGAGAAGTCACCTTCTCCATCCATGGCTCCGTTCCCTGCTCAGGTGAGCGGTTGACTGCACAGGTGAAAGTTAAAGACCAGGGAGGAGCTTTCCCTGGGTCAGCTTTAATCTTGGCAAATACAGTGGGAAGCAGGCACATGCAACAGTCCTTTTCCCTCAGAAAACCCTCAACCGGCCACGTCTTTGCAGAAGAAAAGAACCCAACTGATGCTCCTGTCCTCCAGCAGCACTCTGAGCATCTAGCTGAGCAATCTCCCCATGCCCAACCTGGGCGTCCTTGCTGCCTGCTGACCGTAGGGGTAAGGAAGGGGACACCAAGGGATGGCTCTGAGGAAAAGCAACACTCACCTCTGGCCGTTCCCTGTGGGTGTTGACAGCTTCGATGTTCAGCGAGATGGATTCCACCCGGCAGCCTGCAGAAGGGAGCACAAGGAGACAAGGAGGCCATCAGCAAACCCAACAGGCACAGGATGCTACAAAGTGCTCCACCCCAGACCCCTGCTCTTCTCCCAGAGGCAGCTTGGATTCAGGTACAAGTCAAACCCCTTGGCCCATTTAGTAGAAAGGCTCCACTTACCATAGGCCACCGGGGTCAGCTTCAACACTGTGTGAAGGGGACATTTCAGGTAGGGCATTTCATCTGCAGAGAAAGCAAAAGCAGGAGGGTTATCCCATTCTCCTCTCCAAAAGCAGGCTTAGACATCTTCATCAACAGCTAAGGCCATCCCACACCAAAGAGATGCATGCTCCAGGCCCTGCATGGACCTGAACACATCTCTCATCTCCTCAGAGCTCCACCTATCATCCCTCCTCCAGCAGGATCCATCCTCTTCCCAGGGACAGGGAGCTCACCTGCACTCTTGTCCAGAAAATATGCCAAGAGACAGCGCATGACAGCCTGGTGACAGATCACAAGGACGTTCTCTTGTCTCTCCAGCTCCATGATGACCGGCTCTAGGCGCTGCACCAGATCTTGGTAGGACTGAGACAGAAGAAGGGAAGGGACATATGGCATAGAATCAAGAAAACGAGCACCTCACAAGAAACAATGGTCCTTGTCTTGGTACATCTAACAACATAATTACTGCTAAAAACAAGCAAAGTTCAACAAATCCTCATCTTCAGATGAGAACATAGCTACTTCTGGTCAGAGGAGAAAGAAGCCATTCACATCTCAGTTACAGTCCTGGAGAGTTTATTAAGGTAAGCAACAACTGCACATGGGCTTTGAGCATAGTGTCTATTATCTTGAAATTTGATTTTCTACAAGATTTTTAAGTTCTGAAAAGTCTGGAGCAACCTGAAAGTCTCCAGGGTTTTGAAGGATTTCATAAAGAGCCATGACAGGCAAACAGAAGGAAGACCAGACACCCAGAGCCAGTGTCAGACATCCCCAAACATTCTCCTGTTAGACACACTGTCATGAGGATGTCTCCAAAGATTTCTCCCAAATGTCTATGGACATGACTTTTAATTTGGGGATGAAAAGCCCAATTCACAACCTAAAGTATCATCCAGAACTGATATCAATTCCCACCTCGTTGTGTAACGCCCTGAAAGCAGATTGCCAGGAACAGAGATACCAACATCAACCCTTAGGGAATGATACTGAGAGCAAGAGTAGAAATTACTTCTTTGGAAATGAAAGAAAAGGAAATTCCACTTTGTGTGGATGTAATGGAGGAGGTTGGACTACAAACCTCCAGACCCCCCTCCTACTCATTTGCTATGAAGTCAGTGGGACTGTTTGTTAAGTGATACATTTCTTAATGAGATCTTCACATACCACGATTTCACAAGAGCTCAGTGCAAAAGGTAAATATGAGCCCTGACCTTTCTTGATTCTAGTTTCTTGGAGCACTTGCTGCTCCCCTGCTCCGAGTGTAGAGGACAGCACAAAGACAAGAAAGCCATGTTTAAAGTAAGAGTCACATCCCTGAAGGACTCCTTGCAGACCTACCTCCCCAGAAGGATAGCGGTAGTAATATTTATCCTGATCACGTAAAGCAAATTCCTCTGGATGCTGCTCCCTGATTTCTTCATATGTCATTTCTTCACACACACCCTGCCAGAACAGGACACCCATGAGGTTACTGGACATGCTCAAGTCAAAAAGCATCAGCACAACCCAATACGCAAAACCTTCTCCAAAGCAATTGTCTATCACCCTCTGAGTGGTCAGCTACAGAGCAGTTCCAAGCAAAAATAATTTTAATCTGCTCATTCAAGCCAATATCTGGAAGCGTCTGCACAAGGAAGAGCTAAGATCAGAAGCCAAGTTGTGAGTACTGCAGAAGTACCACCCTTTCCCACAGGAGGAAAAATCTCCCCACAAAAGGTGAGATTTAGGCAAAAGTGAAAAGGCTGGTGTTATCACCCTCTCTGCCAAGCAGCAACCAGCACGATCCAGCTGTTCCTACTGCAAAGATACTTACAGCATCGATTTCATTGAGTGCCTTCCACTGCTCGTAGGGCAATTGGAGAGCTTCTGCTGTTTGGATTGTCCTTTTTAGTTGGCTGGTCCAGACTTTCAGGTCCTTCAGGTTCTGCTCCTCAACAAACTTGTTCAGTGCCAGTGCAAACTGCGGGACATAAAGAAGAGGTTGATTCCTGATCCACAGCTTCCCAATGGGCCTTCTTCCCTCCTTCCCAGTAAATGTTGCCTTCTCCAGGACCTTTTTTGCCTTCCATAGGCAGACATGTTAGTCTTCTGCTCTGAGGTGAAGAGCAGCCACACACGCATTGATCCCCCAAGAGCTATGAGGGGTAGGAGAACGGAGAGAAAGCAGAGGAGAAAGCAGCAACGTAATGTCATCAAGGAACAACATCAGCATCCAAGAAACAACACCACAACCTGGGCTCTCCTACAATGCTATGGAAGATCCCTGGCCACCGTTAACCACAGCCCTGCTTATTTGTCATAGAGCTAAATCGATGTATCCTGTAGTCCTTGATAATAACCCTCCCTGCAGCAGCGCACTTGACCACGTCTTTGAAGAATCAAGTAGTGAGCAATCTGACAGCACCCTCGCATTTGGCTATCCCTACTGAAGGGTGGCAGCAGTCCTTCTACATCCCACCCTGCCTGTGCAAGGTCTGAATCAACTCGAAGATACTCATACCCTTCTCTCCGAGAGATTTCTGCAGCCCAACTTCTGTTAACCCTTAACTACACGCAAGCCTACGAGCAACGTTGATGGCTGGAAAGTCTTGTTTTGAGGCCATGCCCGAGCCCAAATTTAACTAGCCCTATAGATGGATCCTCTGAGCACCCCAGCTGTCATCAAATATACACTTAAGCCAATGAATAGCATCTGCTACAGCCAAATCACTCCTAGAAGCCGTAGGGGAATATTCCCTTCTCCCTCACCTTCTTGCCCCTGTTGGAGAGGCCCGAGTCACCTCCAATCTTCCCCTTGAGGTTGAACTCGCTTTCACCATGCCGACAGAGATAAATGGTGCGGGGCTGGACATGGATGTTCATCAGGTAGTAAACGATCCTGCTCTGGATGTGATCCTGAACCCTGTTGACCAGGAACCGCCGGCCAACATCGATGACTTTGATGAGAGAAAGCTCCCTAGGAAAAGCACAGCAAGGATGAGGGGGTTGCCAGTGGGGAAAGCAGAAAGAAAGAAACACTGTCCTTGACAAACAGCCTTGTGAGGTTATCTCAGTCAACATAATCACCCAGCTAAAAGGATTTCCTGCAGGCTATTTTCAACAGGAAGCCAACAGGTAACGGCGATTCATGGAGAGCTAAGTAACACTAGTGCAATTGCCATTCCTCCTTGCAGCAGTAAAGAGGATTAAACAAGACTAGCAGGGAGCACGTTCCTCCCCAGGACAGGGCTCAGCAGGACCAGGATTATCCACACAGGACACACGGACGTATTTATGAGCTGGAAAGGCTGGGAGGTGCCTGCACGGTCATGCAGGACAAAGGTCCTCCCAGGGTACACAACTAGGCAGAAAGCACAGGGCTTGCTCAACCTTGTGGTTTGAGCCTGTTCAAGCAGTCCCTTCCTTTACCTGACAAAAGTGTCTCAGAAACACTCAAACCGAACTGCTTTTCCAAAACCTTTGTATTTAGACCTGCAGAACCAGCATTATCTGAGCCCAGAAGAGCCTGAGAAGGTTTCAGTGCCTGGCTCCCTGGCATTTTTAGGGGAGAAGCCGAATTCACGATGAGGCTTGGCCATACATTATTCTAGCACAGTCACGTATTTGAAGACAAAGTGAAATACAGCTCCATACTTCATTACTCCTCTCCTGGGAGAAGAAAGGCATTCAGGCCAGTTCAGAAGTCAGCAAAGTCTCTTACCGGTCATAGTTATCAGGGTCGAGCGGCTGGTAGCTGGCCTGGTAACAATTGATCCTCTTCATGAAGTCTTCCATGGCATCGGTTGAATTACAGTCCCGGTAATCAGGGCTGGACAATTTTACTTCCTGCGGCAGGGGAAAAAAACACGCCGCGAGGAGAGGTTAGGAAGCTTTCCAAGCCAGACCATACTAATCTCAAATTTCAAAGTCTTGCCAAGATCCAGCTATTGGCTGAGCCACTTTACAGCCATCACTTATGAGAAGACAGAAAAGAAGCAAACTAGACCCAAAACTAAGCACAAGGTGAGAAAATCTGGTATAAACCATTGCATGACCAGTATAGATGCATATCGGTCTGCTCCCGTTCTCCCAAGAGTTTGGGTAGCACCTCACCACCCAACACAGTGGAGAAAACTGAGTTTTTTTATGGCTAAAGAAAAGCATCAGGTTTAAACAGTTCAAGCTGAGGATGGAAAGTACATAAGCTTAGGCACGATGCTTGTCCCGGGCCTTTTGAGTGAATAAAGCTCCCAGGAGATAGAGGTCAACCTGGCCGGCCACCAGCTGAGGTAGCAGGATAACAACATCCAACCCCTTTTTGTGCATTATTTGCTACAAGCTACTGGGCTGAAAGATGCTAGAAATGGGCAATGTGAATATCCAGAGCTCTCGTTGACTAAGTTCTGCCTGAACTACTCTAACAGGCTATTTTTCCTGAAAATTCGGGTTTGAGCAGCAGCATTACACATTAGTAACTTCATCCTTCCTGAAACCAGTAGGATAACGCAACTGAGCGACACGCGCGGCAGCACCCCAGGCCCGCAGCGTATTTTCCGCACTGATCCCAGCACTAAGAGCACCATTCATCTGCAGTGCCCCGTGGAGCAAAAACCTACGCTCAGCTAGTAGTTCATTTTCTCCCCCTTCAAGCATTAGTTTCCAAAGAAAGGGATTAAATCCTCTGAAAAATCCAGCTTCAGGGTATAGCAAAGAGAAGAAGAAAAAAAAAAAAAGAAAAAAAAAGATAAAGCAAACTGAGCATTTTGTTAGCATCATGGAAAAGGCTGTGTGCAACCTCCCAAAAAGCTGATCGCTGGCCATGGGACGCTAGCTCCCAGCAGGAGCAAAAGCCATGCGCTAGCCCCCACCACAGCACCCTTCGTGGAGCCCATCCCGGGGGCAGAACCCAACAAAACCCTTCTCACAGACTTTGGGTATTCTGCAACACATTCCCAGACACCATAAAATGGCTTGCAAAGTTCAGATATACAACTGGAGATAAGGCTGGAGCGGAGGCCAGTAGAGGAAAGGACACTTTCATTCAGGTTAATCATGCCTAGGTAGACCAATTAACATCCACCTGCCCTAGCCAAGCCTAACGGGCAAAGGAGCTCTGCTGCTGGTGGGAAATCAAGGATCCAGCAGCTCCCAAAGGAGTGGAGAAGCAATGTTTTATGCTGCTCTCCCAACCAAGACTTCAGCTAGTGGCAAGAAACCTCCAAGCTGAGCTTCTATTCTTCTCAAAGCAGACCCCAATAGATTTTGGGAAGCCACACATGGCTGAAGACACCAAGTCTGACTGCCCTCCAGTGGGATTTAAAGCCCTAACCGCATCCATCGCTTCCAAAAAGTGGGACTTTGGAGGGGGTCACCAAAGCATCTTGAATGCTTTCTGTCCTTAATATCAAGTTACAGATCAACAGATATGCAGAGAGCATAGAAGGGAGCTGGGGAAAGGCTACAACTTTTATTTTTATTACTTCCAGGTGGTCCTGGGAGATAAAAGTTCCTTTCTCATCCCAGGACAAATACATCATAAAGAGATAAAAACCTCCTAATCCTCAACCAACTCTGACAAGATGTTCTGATAAGAAACCAGCAGGGCACAGGTGGAAAATCCTACATGAGGGAAAACAAAAGCAAGGTGTTTCCATGCTTACCATAACGTTGGTGGCAACTACTGTGGGATCATTGCAGACAGATTCAATGAAGAACACCTGGGAAGCAAAACAAAGCTCACCTGAAGGCCAGCAATAAGGTCCGTAGCATTCAACCAGCTCCTTGCTCACCCAACCTCCTCCCTCCTTGACCGGAGAGCCCTCCCTCTGCCCCACTCCTATCCTTTCCTTCTCCAGGTCTCAGGATTGGGAATGAGGAAAGAGTTTCACATTTTTAATCAAACCCAGCAGTGAAATCTCCCTTACACAGGAGTATCCTGAGGACAACACGTTAGTGAAAGAAGATACGCCAACAATACACTAACATGGACTATGCAATACAGGCAGCAACCCAAGGGTACCAACCTTGAACCCATTTTCTTTGGCAAAGTTTAGGATCATCCCTCTCCTCTCCCGTGTGGTATTGGTGGCATCAAAAACCTTTAAAAGCAAAGATTTCAATTAGCACCAAGACCATCTGGTTTCCCACTGAGCCATTCCTCAGAGAAGGAACTACAGAGCGAACTGCACAGGGTGCAGTGCCTTCGGGACCAGGACTGCCACCAAACCCTGTGGAGCTCATCTTGGAGCTTACCGCAATCTGGCCAGCCTCCTCAGTCAGGTACAGCTTGACATCCCTCAAGGCAGCCAGGGCACATTGCCTGCAAAAGAGGCGAGACACGCATGGTCCTGATGTTCTCGGAGATGCTCGCAGCAGCCAGTGCACAGATCCCCACAAAGGAGGGCAGGCTTTGCAGCTCCTCCTTGCCACCTCCCCGCTTCTTCCAGGGACATTTAGGAAAGACACCCTCAGCCTGCTAAAAATACAAGGGCCATGCGTGCCAAGCGGCGTGCTGGTCTTCACGGCAGAGGCAATGGTAGATGGAGAAGCAAAGGCCAAACCTCATGGCAGACCTCATACCCTACATCGCCGAGCCTGAAGGTGAATTTAGGGTACCCCTGATGGAGGATGCATTGGTGACCTGACGCTACCAAGCCCTGACAACCTCAGTTTTCAGCTCTTGGCACCCAAGTCAGGCCCTCCTTAGGCAGGCAAGGAGATCTCAAGCTAGAGCCCAGCTTTTCTGTCCATCACCCCTTAAAAAAAGCTGGGCAACCCCACTGCCGGCTGTGGGCTTCACCACCTGTTTGGGACCTGGCTATGAGCACAGATGCAGCACCCACACTTACCTCCTGACTTTCATGGCCTCCTCGTTGTCGGGGCGGAAGAAGTCATAGGAGCTGTAATGCTTCACTGCCTCACGACGATACTCCCCCACGTTGAAAACTGTATGGGAAAGGCAAAGATCATCAAAACCAGGAGCGGGCGTCAGCACAGCTCAACTCAGCTGTGCAGCTCCTGCAGATAACACTTCCTAGCAATGGGCCAAGAAGTGACATCCTTAGAGCAAAAGGCTCAGGGACATCCCTTGGTCTTCAAAGTAAAGGAGAACCTGGGCTGCAGCAGAAGCCACAGGAGAATGTAGATATTTGGCCCATGGGATCTTGGAAAGATCCCCCACAACCTCCCACTCCCCAACACACTGAGCTCCTAGAGCAACTCCAGAGGACCCCAGACCTCATGCCTTCCCCAGCCAGCCAGTGAAAGCCTCACCTTTCGTTGGGACACCGATCCAGTTGAGGTAGCGAGTCAGCTTCTTGGAGATATAGGTCTTCCCGCGGGCTGGGAGGCCAACCATCACTATCACAGTGGGGGAATTGGCGAGCTGCGGCCCACAGGCTACAAGGAGGAGGAGAAAGAGCATGAGCAGCCATTAATCCTCCAGCTCATCTTGTATCAACCCTGCAAGGCACTTGCTCTTGACCCAACCTTCCCCCAAGTCCTTCAGCAGCTAAAGGAAACCCAAAGCCTCTGCTCCCCGCGCACCACCGTCTCTGCAGTATCTCCTGTGCATCCCTTTCATGAGAATGGACAACCAAAACCTTGAGCAGGCGAATCCACTGACTCATTTTTGCAATGGGATCTGCTGAATGAGCACGTGTCAGAGCAGGGGGCACGGTGGACGGCTCCATGGCTGCCCAGTGGTGAGACACAACTGCCCAAGCTAAGCCAAGCTGACCCAAATTCAGCCCGGTGCCACCCAAACTGGGGGACAGGAGTGACAGCCTGACACCCATGGCAAGAAGAGAACATCCTGATGGTTGCAAAGTGAGCAAGGAACCAGCAGCTGCCCCAGGCTCCCTGCAGGACCTCTGTGCCTCAGTTTCCCCATTTGCAAAAAAAAAAAAAAAAAAAAAAACCAACAAACCCAACAGATCTTCACCCACAGAGCGCATGGAGCGCATCTTCCAAAAACTTCTGCTAGCTTTTTAGCTGACACACATGCAAATGCAACCAACTAATATTTTTTTTTCTGAAGACAAGCAGGGCCCAAGGACTGCAGAACCACCAGCATTTAAAAGCAGATACATGAATGACTTATCCCTTTTTCCTCATAAACCTGTTTTAAGCTGGGGTTTTTTTGTTGTTGTTGTAAAAGGGGTCCATGTCAAACAGCTGGAAATAATTCCAGAGGCATCGCTTAGCGATGACTTGGCAAGTGAAGAGAAACTCCTCTCCAATTCACCCGAATGGCACGGCCAAAATGCAGACAGATCAGCTGCCAGGCTGCCCAGGTGAATCGCTTCTCTCCCCATAAATCCTTTAGAAAGTAAATTCCTGCTTCAGTTTGGAGGAAATTGCTGAGGTTACAGGACTGGGAATGCAATTTGGGAATTTTTTTAGTCCTCCATAGCCCGGTCCCAGCACCAGGGGATGCATCTGGACCGCACACCCCGTGGACCACGTAACATGACAGCCTTCCTCTCCCGTGTCTCGCCCCTGCTCCTCTCCAGAAGTATTTCTCACATGGTGTCGCTCACAGGAAAGGCTGAGGCACAAAGCCAAGTGCTTTAAGTACAGGAAAGGAAGATCTTAACGATGCCTAATGCCACCCGGTGTGACACGCCAAGAGCCCTCCCGGCGAAGGCAGAGACCAGCCCCGATAGGCGAGACCCTCCGGGGGATTTCTCACCCACCCTTCAATCCACCCGGCAAGCCCGGAGACCTCACGGGAAAGGAATGCAGGGAGTGAGTGGCTGGTGGCAGAGGCATAAAAAAATGCAGTTTAATTACGGGCTGGGCGGAGAGCTCTGCCTGCCCATCCCAGCTGCCCGCAGGTGGGACCAGGCGACGGCGGCAGAGCGATCTGGGGATGCGAGGGGCTCCCCGGGGATGGGGACGAGGTGGTGGGTTGGGGTAGATTTTTCTCAGCGGAGATCTGGGAAGGGCAAACAAATGGAGAGGTATCCAGAGAGCATGCAAAGCACGTGGGATTTCCTTCCCCTACTAATAAAAAAAAAAAAAAATCCAACAGCTAAAGAAACTGAATTAAGGCCACAAAGGAAGAGTAACAGCACCGGTGCCCAGAAGGGCAGAGAAGAGCCACCCATCACCTGCCTGGCTGACTTGCCAAAACAGACTCAGCAGGCAAGAGATGAGAAAACTACCTAAAAGAGAATTTCTTTTGTTTTTTTTCTCCTAAATATTCCACATTCCTCAGGCTGGAGCTGCCCTCGCTCCCTTTGTGCGACCTGCATCCCCGGTGCCGCGTTTCAAAGGCCCGGGCCAGCTCCCACTGATCTCAGCAGCAAGCGCTGATTTTGCGTGCTGGGATAGCAAAGCAGCTGTGCAACATATCCAGAAAAAATATTTTTTTCCTCTCTAACAGTCTCACATCCTCAACCAACCTATAGGTGCAAGTCTTTTTTTTTTTTCTTTCCACAAAAAAACAACCATAAAGGGAGGGGGGAAGGAATAATACCTGAACAG